TAGTCTCTTGTTTAGTATGAGCAGATCCAGAGTATAAGCTAGTTGGGCAGACCCGATGAGAGCTGGCTTGTCTTACTGTGGGCTGTGCAAACAGAACGGGCTGAAGGGCTGCCTCATTAAAACTAGCAGAAAGGTGCAGCGTAGTGGCAAACAAACAAGCGGCTCGCCTTGCAGTTGTAAGAAAAATTTTTATATAATTTTCTTGTGCTCGTTTTATGCAGCTAATCCTTTGGGGTTTGGACGGTGCTAGGGCCAGGGCCGGGTTGAGGCGCTAACTTAATTTGCCAGCAGCGTAATTGCAGCAGCAGCAGCAGCAGCCCACGAACTGAGTTGTTAGTCAAAGTTTTGTACGTCTAATTGTAGGCGTCATTATTTGACTGAGCTGAGGGTTTGGCAACCCCAGCTAAGCACAAGGGTCGCCGCCCAGCCGCATGCTGCGCAGTTCAACGCACCGTAGCAACTACTCCAAGCACCTCCCTTCCCTGCCGCACACTCATCCACATTTCGTATCCGATTTCTATCTCTATTGCAGCATAGAAATGTATTCAAACAATTACGATAATTATAATTTAAATTAAAGCTCATCTAGTTCGTGTCGCTTAGGGTTTAACGTTTCATTTAATATTTAGCCAAAATGTACTCGTGCCCATAAATCAATGCCAAACAGCAAGCCAGGGTTGCGTTGCGGAGTGGGCGTGGCACGGCTAAAGCGTACACCCATATGAATACTCAAGTGTCTCGACGCAACAAATGGGACAAATTTCCATTTCTATCCAATGCCACATAAATGGCACATAATTTACGATACCGTTATGAGGCAGCGCAGCGGGCAGAGCTGCTGCTGCCGTTGCTGCTGTTGCTGCTGCTAACCAAACATGCAGCAAAAGCCGTCCAAAATGCTGCTAACAATATTAGTTAGCGTGTGGCAGCAACAGCAACAACAAACTCGAACAACAACAAGTTCTATGGCAGCATACAGTAAAGTTTACATTCATGTGTGCGTGTATGTGTGTCGGCCGGCGTCAATGTGTGAAGTAATTAATTACAAAGCAACTGATGTAAATCTGCGTGTATGTGTGTGTGTGCGTATCTCTGTCTGTGCGTGTCTGTGTGTGTGTGTGTGCTAAGTTTTCGTGTGCTTGGGTGTTGGATTATGATGCATGATCGTGTATATGTTGCGCATTGTCACACGCACACTTGCCCACAGCACGCACAAATACACACACACACACACACACACTGGCACACACACACACCGGCACACACTGGGGACTGTAGCGTTATCTAGGTATTGGTATAGCTGTATGTAAGCTGTAACCGAAATAGGATTGATTTACACATCAGGTGAGAAATGAACGCGTCGGAACGCCCAGATGCATTTCATTAATTACCAGCCCAGGGCAAGCCGGGCTCCTCTCGCTCTCCCTCCCTCTACCTCTACCTCTATCTCTCTCATTCTCACTCTGCTTATGTGGCGCACTTTTTAAACATTTTCCATATTAAAGTTCCATTTTAAAGCTTTTCAGCTAAAAAAAAATAACTGCTTTATTTTAGCTTTGTGAGAGATATTTGAAAATGCTCAGTCAATTTGTAATGCATTCAAGGAGACTTCTTTCGGTCGTTTTGAGAACAATCTAAATAAATATATTCACTACTCCTTTTTGTGCATTTTTTGATAAATTACGAATATGAAAGTGGTTAAACACACACAGTAAATGTAACAAGATGTTCCTTGGCATTTTCGAAATTATTATAATTTTTTATATTTTACATCAATATTAGTTTATATTTTTCAAGAAAGTACTATAAGTCTGTAAGGCGTTCGTAGAGTTATTTAATGCTTGGTATTTTCATTTAGGGCAATTTAATTTTGTATTTACAAGAAACTACCAAAAATTAGTCTGCAACATGTTTGTAAGATTATGTTATCTATGGCATTTGAGAATTTATATTTTCACATCAATTTCAGTTTAATTTTTCAATTTTAAATTTCCTTTTAAATTATTTTCTAGGAAAATACCCAAAATATGCAATATGCTCGCAATGGTATTTAAAATTTTCATAAATATTTGTTTTTCATTTTCTATTTGTCAATTTCGCTGCAAATAATTTCCAAGAAAAATAAGCGGCTTTGTAATTAATAAGTTGATATAATGCAATCGCATTATGCTTAAATCAATTCCATTACATCGCGCCCCCTCCCCACTACATCCCTCTGCCAGTGCCCAAAGGCACACAGTTTGGGGCACACAAATATATCTCATTAGCACGACAACTGTGGGCGTTGTCTTTTTCGAGTGCTAATTATATTCATCAGTGTCATGAGCAATTCGATTTAAAATGGCGGCTGTGGGTTTGAAGAATATATATTTATGAAAGCCCCACACGTGATATACGCGCACACACACACACATACACTCACACCACACCCGCCTTAAAAAAAAAGAATAAAAAGTCGTCACGGCTGCGGATCGCTGCGTGCGAGTCTCTTGGCATGGGGCAGCGAATAGCTGCGGGTGTGTGTACGCGCGTGTGTGTGTGTGTGTGTGAGGTGGGGGGCACATTTAAATTAATCACAGTAAAAGTGAATTGCCCAAAACAATGTAATATCCCGTTCAAGGGCCCCTGGGAGCTGAGCAAGGGGCGGCGAAACCAACAAACAGAAATCTGTAAATGCCTATGCCAGTCAGCCAGCCAGGCAGCAAAACCCCAAGCCCCAGAGCCTAGGCCTGAGTCCGTGACGAAACCAAAACATAGCTGTCACTGTGTGTGTGTGTGTGCTAGTTCATGCATGCCAGCTGTATGTGTGGGTGTGTGTATGTGTGTGCGTGCGGTTGCTCAAATTAAAACAAAGTGTCGTGCGTTTGATGAAAATGTAACGCGCTTTGGTGCTGCCAATGCGAACGTCAACGTCGGCGTCGCAGTCGGCGTCGCACATAAATGCTAATTGGCTTAAATGTGCGTGTGCACACGTGTGTGTGTGTGTGTGTGTGTGTGTGGGTGTGTGCATGTCCTTTGGGTAAGCTTTTGCTATAAGCGGCAACGGCGGCTTCACATTTTCAGGTGTTCAAACTAAAACATTTTATAGTTTGGTTAATTGTCAAAGCTGTGTGGCAGCCAAAAAATACCAAAAACAGGAAAGGGGATGCGGATGTGGGTGCGGATTGCCCCAAACCTTTTATGACTTAATTATTCGTCGGTTTTTGTGGCTGCGTCGGCGGTTTACAAAGAAACGACAGATGGACAGACTCAGAACTAGAGTCGGGCGCAAATGTCGTGTTTCGCTTTCGTGACACGAAAGCACGTTGTGCTTGTGCTAAGAAGTTAAATCTGACTATTGAGCGAGGCAATTGAGCAATAGTAAAGATAATATCTATATGGGTATGATAATCAAGAAAATATTTATTCCTAAACTTGACGCACCTGTGCTTAAGTTCACGCATAATCATTTCAAATATACATATAAAATTATGATAAAATATATATATATATATATATAAAAATATAAACAAAAGAGTCTACTGAAATATTGTAATAAAAAAATATTATTATTAGTTTTTGTAAATTTGTTTTTTTTTGCTTGTTTAAAACTATAACAGAGCCTTTTCGTCCGTTAAATTTCTTGGACCAAGCCAAAAGTATTATTGTTATATAGAAACAAATAAATAGCTTTTATTTATAAAATTAAAAAAAAAAAGTTTTTGTTTACTTTACAGATTAGTTGGGCAACCCGAATAGTAATATTAGAGTGTAACAATTTTTTAAAAAATTTCTGAAAATTTAGACGAAGTTTTTTTTTTTTTAGCCATTTAAAAGCTATTTTAGAAGAGTAATATTATTTTTATTTCTTTTATTTTATTTTTATTTAATTAAAATTGGAAAGTTAATTTTTCTAAGAAACTAGAAGAGACGACAAAAACAAGCTTAAAGTCTCGTGCCAATCGTGTTGTTTCGTGTTTGGTTTGCCTTTTCAAAAATGACGACACGCGCCCAACTCTAGAGGGAACTATAAGAGTCGCCTTCAAGTGGAATAAAAAGAACTGAAAGAAATTGCACATAAAACAGCGCAAGAAGCGTAAAAATTGTTTTGTTTTCGGGTGTTCGTTGGTTGGTCTGGGGTTTTAGGGGGGGTTTTTTTGGGGATTGGTGAAAATTGAAAACAAGTGAAATAAAGTGATTTGGCGTTGCGAGATTTTGTGCGTACGCGTGCGTTTTCTATTCAGCACGATTGGAGAGAATTTCGCCTTTTGTGTGGCCGCAATTCGATGGGTTTTTATGTTTATTCGCCTTCACTCCATTACGACTTTATGCTCTTTAGCAGACAATCAACATTGTTGTTGGCTATATCAGTTGTCTGTTTGTCTGTTGCTTGGAATTTGACTGAGTGGAGGCTGGGAGCTGGGAGATGGCAATGCCCGTGTAAAAATGCAAATTACAAGTGGAATGACTGAATGAATGATTGTCATTGCTGTGAGCTTTTTGTTGGAAATTTTGAAACGGGCGCTGATAAATAGCAAACGCTTGGCCAGGCTTATAGGCTGACACCCCATATATGCCATAATTTATGCAAATTAATTTATAAAAACGAAATAAAGTTAAGAGAGGAGAAGCAAAAAAAAAATATAATATATATATGTGGCACAGCCATAGACATATTTCACGCAAGTGCGACAATTTTCGCGCTTATGGCCAGCGGAAAGTACATAAATATAGTGCGCCTTAAAGTAGACTCATTTATATGGCTTTATGCGCAATTTCAGGCGCTGACATTTATGATGTATTGTTATGTATGAGTATATATGCATGTGTGTGAATGTATGTGTGTGTATGTGTGTAGTCATAGCAACTGACATGCGTCTGACGAATGGCTCGCTGACTGCCCGACTCGCTGACTCCTTGACTCCTTGTATAAATTTGGCCTGAGGCCACTAGGGCTCAGACATTTTGTATGATATTTCACCTGTATGCTGGTTACGGTTACACTGTCTAGTCAGATGCTAGTAGGCGGCACATTAAATTCAAAATATGTACAACAAAAATCCGACAAAATTTGTATTTCCATCGAATCTGAATAGCTTGCCGCCTATCTGAGCAGCGACAGAGAAAACTTATCGTATAGAAATATATAACAAATTTTAAAATGCCTGAAAAGCCAAGCACATCCAATCCAAAGCCGACACCGGCAGGTAAAGTGACCAAAAGCACCAAGGATACTAAAGATACCAAGGATGCAAAACCCGGTCCAAAGCAACCGGTCATACGCACACCGATGCCCAATACACATGATCGGGTAAGTGAAAAACATATACATATGTCTATATCTTTTCAGTTGTAACTCTTCTTGCTCTGCAGATATGGAAGATCATGAAAATGTAGTATTAAATACATCCAAGTTGACGGCAAACTTTTATTTGCAACTCTAACAAAACTAGACTCGTTTCTTTTTATACGATAAAGCTTGTTGCTTAAGATACTATTAAATACGAATTGCCGTTAAAACTTGTGTCCTTTACACTCTGCTGAATAAAGCGCAAAAGTACCTGCAAAAAAAAGCACTCTTATATTACCCAAGAGGCGACTGGAAGGTGCGCAAGGCGCATGCGTGCTAAGTTAAGAGATTTGCCGTCTCTCTTAGGCAATTTGCTCTTAAAAGCATCTTCGAGCATTACTAGAGCATATAGTTAAATGAAATAATAGCTGAGATAAATTATTAAAAAGTAAATAAAGCGTAATATAATCAGGCACGCCTAGGCCTAGAGCTGAGAGCTGCTCGAGGCAATTAATATACTATATTATTATTTAAACATTAGTTCCGTAACGTTAATTAGCACTTGGAGCTCGATGGGTCTAGTCATGCTTTGTAAAACACAAATAGCCGAGCACTTGAACTAGTTATTTGTATTTGCATTTGCATTCGCATTGACTCAAGTGCTGTAAGAATCCTCAGCAAACTCACAGAGAGTAAGAACAAAAAAAAAGAAGAAGAAATCAAACAGCAGGCTGGCAAAGCTAAAATAAAAGTGCTTGGGATAGGCCCACTTCTGGGGCGCCTCAAGCATCATCAAGTCGAATGCAATTTAAACCAAAACAAACTCAAACGCCGAGCCGCAGGCCACAATCCGGCTGAAGACGAGCGCTGGCTAACACACCCGACCCCGAACCCGCCCTCGCCACCGTTGCCGTCCACGCCGTATTACAAAAAAACATTTTACTTTCATTCGGCAAAATTGAGTGAAAACGACGACTCAACGTCGACGACGTCGACGACGACGTCCAAATGTGGCACGACACGAAAATATCCCCGGTTTGGTTGGCGCCGAGCGTGCAAGGATATTCTATGGCTCGTGCCAGTTTTTGCCATTGGCATCGCTCAGTTTCGTATTCGTGTCGGAACGTGGCGCTACACCGTGCTCAAGGATACGCGGCCAGCCAGTACCCAAAACGTTAGTAAATCGCAAAAAGGGCACAAACGACTTGAACTGTCCACCAAATCTCTGCTAGTGTGTGCCCCAGTGTGTGCGTGTGTGTTATTACATTTTATTGGCGAAAATACAAAAAAAAAAAAAAAAAAAAACAACATACAATAAATGCAAAAATTAATTATTAATATTACAATTTCGCATATGCATAAACCGGGCCGTATCGTTGCATTTAAATGCTGATTGAAATGTTAAACACAGATTAAATATTGATGCAACCGGGCGTTATTGCTGCTTGTTGCATTCCAATTTGTAATCTTTGAGGGCCGTGTTCACGCGACGCGACGCGACGGGAAGCAACGCGAGGCGTGGCAGCTACCCTAGGCCTTGGCCCGGCCCGGCTCAGCGTTTAAATGAGCAGCCAGAGTGTGCGTGTGTATGACTTTATTAAAAAATTGTTAATTCGCATAAAGTATAACGTGCGCGTGTTCAGCTCGAAAGTATTTTACACGTTGTTTGTGAACATTTTTTGTTGTCGATATTCACATAAATATCACATGCGTCGCTCAAGCTCAGCCGCGCGACTCACAACACGCGCCCGTTAATTGTGTGTTCCATCTTTGCATTAAAAATATTCGCAATGCACGGTATTTGTTAAATCCTAGCTTAACGCACATGTTCCATTTTTTTAACGGCAAAATTAATAACAAGTATACGACACGTTGGCCCAGCCCAGCCCCCGGTAATTGTCATTGTTTAACGTGCGGCTTGGCTTGCATTTAAATCACTTCTTAATGAAGTGCACAACATGTAAGTTTCATAATTATTATTCATCATTTTGCCATAATCATACCCTAACCATACAATAGAGTACCATACATATGACATCTGCTGCGCTCACCATAGAAAGTACATTAAATCTATGATATATGTGCATAGAAAATATAAATGAAATTTTAATAATAATATAAAATATATAAAAAAATATTATAATTAAAAATTATAATTAAAAAATAATAATAAAATAAAATAACATTAATAATAATAAAAGCAATAATTACAATTAAATTTTTATTGCCTTATGAAAACTTTGAGCCTCGCATAGAAACAGGTTCCACATATTCCCGCAAAAGTTATCTCTCCCTATTTATCTTTATCTTTTTTCAATGTGCATCATTTGCAGCATATACAGGCTTCGGCAGCCTGAACTCATATTTTTGTTGTTTTTGCATTTCCGTTTCCGGCTTTGTTGTAAATCATTTAATTGCATGCGCTTATTTTCTGTTATCGGGCAATTATTTAACATGGCCGCAAATTGAGCAATTCGCTGCTCACTTTTCTTGGGTGCGTCACACAGCCACGCCCACATGCCCTACACACACACCCAGCTTAATGACTGAACAATAGCCGTAGCCTGGCTGTGAAGTTTGAGTAATTTTAAAATTCCAAACAAACAGACAAAATTGTGAGCAAATAAATTAATACTAAAAGCCTTTTGTTTGCGTGCCAATAAATTTATAAATAAATAGTATCAGTGCTTTTATAGAGTTTCAATATATTATTATAAATAAATACCATACGCAAGAGAATTAATTCTCAGAATCTAAGCAATATTAAAGAAAATATTACTCGCATTGCTGCTTGCAACAGAATTTATAGTATTTTTAGTTCAGAATGATAAATTGTGTGCAACCTGTGCCCAAGTACGCCAGATACTACATGAGCTAAAATCAGTTAGCTGTCGTTGCATGCATAAAAGGCTCATGCAACAACAACAAGTCAAAGCATTTGCCGAAAAAAAAAGAAAGAAGGATACCCAAAGGTAAATTCTGTCAAATAGACAAAAAGCCAGGCAGACAGTTGGACTTGGAATATATAGAGGCAGATACCGAGCATTCTAGCCAACTGGCTTATTTATAAGAGCAGAGGGTAAGCACTTTGGCCACACACATGAAAAAAGAGGGGGGTTGGCGGAGACTTCAGCTCCTATTCACTATTTGGGGGGGAGGTTTGAGCTGAGCTCCTATTCACCTTTTGAGCCAGCTGCACGTTTTATAATATTTATGCATGTGCCTGCCAACTGGACCAGCACTCATGAGCTTCTGGCTGAGAGGCGGCTCGAAAAAACGCAGCAAACTAGCGCTCAACAGGGCGTTCATGTGCATGTGTATGTGTGTGTGTGTAGTGTGTGTATGCATATAACGTGCCTGTCTGCTCGCCTTGTAGTATATTGCCAAAAGTAACACTCCACATATTCAAGTGGGGCATTTTCGGGGCGCTGCATATTCAAGTGGCAAGTTAGTAGGTGCATCTAGAAATTACATTTAAAACTATTTTTGGGGCTTGGCATGCAACTGAATAAATACGTTGGCAGGCAAGGCTAAGCAAACATGAAAACCAGATGAAAAGCAGGCGGCAAGGGAGCTTTGGCTATAGCCAGGCGGCGGGAATAGCAACAGATGCCACAACAATTGCCATTTAAATGGACAAAATGAAAGCAACTACAACAAAACCAAGAACAAGAACAACAAGAAAAGCAGCAGCAGCAACAAGAATAACAACAAGTTGTGCACACAAACAAATGCAGGCGCACACACACAGGACAACAAACAGGACACGCATGAAAATGAAATCGTTCAGCCATGATATGAGATAGAATAAAATGTAAATGACATACATATACGCATGTTTGTTTGCCTGTGTGCGTGTGTGTGCAAACAAAAACCAAAAAAAAAAAACACAACCAGTTTACATGCTTTCATGCAGCTCAACATTTTTGACAGTGTATCAAGCGCACAGTGGGCCAAAAAAACCTTTGAGAAGCAGCCAAATGTGGCAGCATGTGTAGACATTGCAAAATATTTCCTTAATTAAAAAAAAATAGTTTTAATTTTAATGTTTATATCCCTTTTTATATATTGTCTTATACTTTGAAGAAATTGTTGGAAAGAGAAGCAGATAAATGTCAGTGATTTGGGGCCAAAAGCTTAAGCTAGCAGACAAATTTGGCAGACAAATTTGTTCTTAATTTGTAGATATGCATATCTTATTTTAATATTGTGTTACATTTGAAAGATATTGGTAGCAAGAGAAGAAGATACATTTCAGACTTAAATAATTAAAAAAAAAAATAATTTCTATCATTCAGTAATTATACAATAAATATTTTTTTATATTTAAAAAATTATAATTTCTTAAAAAAATATATTAATTTTTTTTTTATATATACTCCCAAATTTCAGGAAATATATTCTGCGTATTAGAACACAAAATTGTGATGTTTAAAAACATGTTCGACGCTTTAAAAAACTTTTGCCGCCTGCTTAAAAAAAACTTGCAAGCTTTTAGGCCCTTTTTTTGTATTTCCTTAAACAAAATGCCATTGTTTTAAGAACATTTTTGTGCCAATTTGAACTGTTTTTATTTTTCCTGCTTGGCGCAGCTGCAGTAAGACAGCAAAAATTGATCCATGGCTTGGCATTTTAACTGCTTTCTATTTCTTGGTCGTAAAAGCAAAGAAAAAAACTTTGGGTTTTTTAAACAATTCCCTTTCGGCCATGCCACACCCACATGACTAACGCCCCTGCTGACTTTGTGCTGAGCTGTTGCAATGGCCGTTTGTTTTGCTTATTCCCATTTGTTGCTTGCTTACAGCTGCCCAAATTTATTACATCCACTGAAGAAAGCACAGCGGCAAAGTTGCAGCAACTTTTTCCATTCCCATTTTTTGCTTTTGCCACTTGTTTTTGTTTACCCCCCCTCTCTCTCTCTCTTTCTCTCTCTCTCTCTCTCTCTCTCTCTCTCTCTCTCTCTCTCTTTTGGCTTTCTCTATCTTTATTGGGCAGTTTTGCATTTGTCGTTTGTATTTTGGCCTTTTGTCACAAAGCTTTTACACATAAAAATGTTATTGCCCGATATGTAGTTGTAGCTTATGCTGATTTGTGTTGACCTACAATTGTTGCACAGGCAACAAAAAAACAAAAAAAAAAAACACAAACAAAGGCTCGTGAAATGTGTTGGCTTTAAGGCTGATTTAGGACTTGCTCGTATGCCTGACTATGCAAATTCAAAGCATGCGAAAAATTGTAATGCACATAAAATTTGTGTTTATTTTGTTTGTTTCTTGAGCTAGAAAATGCGTCGAAGTATTTTTTTAACTACTTTTTACAGCAAAAAAAATTGTTTTTTGAAATTTGTGCCAATATCAAAATGGGAAAAAATTAATTCCGTCTAATCAAATAAATATGTTTGGATATCTTTAATTTGTTCAGTAAACGAAGCACTCAAAATATAATTCCTAAGTTCAAATAATGTGCCAAAATATTTAATAGAGTTCTTTGTTACTATTTTAAGCTAAAAATCATATCTTACTTCGGAGCCGAAGTTTAATAAGCAATTTAACAAGCAATTTTTAATATAGCTTAAAATTAAAAACAATTTTTTTACGTTTTTAGCTATTTTTAAGCTTAAAAATGAACGAAAATAAATTTTTTAGAACTGTGAATGATATATACTATTTTATGGAAATTTATTATTTTAATATTTAGCTTTAGCCTTAGTCCTGGCTAATAATAATAAAAATATGGTTATTATTTTTTATTCTTGAGCTAAAGAGTTACAAACTACATAGATTATAATTAATATTTAAAAAATTATCTACCAGGACATATATTAAGATAAAGTATTAAATACTGGAACCTCAGTGAACTGAAATCTAAAAATATAACTAATTTATTCATCAAAAGAATTTATATATTTTTATAATCCTTAAGGAAAAGCACTATGCTTTCCGATAGCATGAGCACATCACACTTTATGTTACATAAGTTTCTTTCGCTTATTACATACATTTTCATTATCCATTTTTATGTTTCCTCAAAGCTAACCCTTTTCTACCAAATAATCGCTTCTTGAATGGAGGCTTAATTGCTGCAGTTAATGCGCAACACTTAGCAAGAACAATCAAAAGGCTTTTGGCTCATCAACATTATCCTCAATTTGCCTAATCAAACTGCCCCCGAAATAATGCCCAGACTTTATCAGCACACACACGCACACACATATTAGGACACACAGTTTGCAGAAAGTTTTAACTGTTATCTGTTGTCTATCAGCAAATTTGATGCGATTCTGTTTACCTGTTTTAATGAGAAGCGCATAAGGCTCGCACAAAGCCAGCTAAAGGAGAAAAACGAAGAAAAGTGAAAACGGTAAAACGGAAAACTGTGGGCCGTATAACGCAAATGAAAAACCAGGTCAAAGTAAACAAAATGAAATAGAAGGAAAATTTATGCAAAACTCAAAAAACGTACGAAAAGTGCGATTAAAATCAACTGCAAGTGCCTGATGTTTATATATGTGTGTAAATATATATATATATATATATATATATATACGTGTGAGTGTGTGTGTGTGTATTTGCGAAAATAGCGTGCGTTGGATCAAATTTAAATGCACAACAGTAAAATAATGAATTCTTTTGTTTGTATTCAAGAGATGCAAAAAACAAAACAAAAACACAGCCGCAATTGTTTGTTTTTCTTTTTTTAAGAATGAGATGGAAAGCCGAATGAAAATTAAACATATATGGAAAATGAAGTAAAGTTCTTGTTGCTTGTTGCTGCTGGAATGACAATGGAAATGTACACGAAAACCAAATTGTAGTTAAGTTCAGTTCGGAGCTGTGCAAAGTTGAGACTTGGGGCCAATAAATTATGAAGTGCTCGGAGTGTGCCCGGGCCAAGCATTTCAATGGCTTTCTTTTGGCCGCCTTTGTTGGTCAGCTAATTGCGCGCCTTTTGTGTTCAAAT